ACACACAGAGCCCATGTTACCATAGTACTGCAGGCTGGCTATACAGTGAATGTTGAGCCTCTTCCTGGAAACAAACCCCTCTCAGAGGAGCCAAGACGAGGGAAAACACAAAACAACCCTGACTACACGGAGAACACAGAACACTTGTGGAGCCCAAGGATAGTGGCTGGGGTCGTCATTTTACTCACTGAATGAAGCTCCGCCATCATTGTAGCTTTAGCCACTGGCTGCACTTTGTTGAAAGAAAAAAATAAAACATAGCACTTCATACAGAATTGCCACTGAGCCTAATTCTCTCTCTCCTGGTCAAAATGAAATGGATTATTATTACGTTACTGACAAGCTGTAAAATTTTACTCCTTGATGGATGATAAACGTACCACTTGAGCTAATGCGGTTTCATTAAACACAGAACATAGTGCAAACACTCATAACTGATTATAGTTTTGTCAGCTATAAATATTCTTTTACCTTTCTTATAGTCCTACTTTTACAAACAGTTTACAATACCAGGTTCAATGCATTATCAACCACTCATAGCTAAGATTCCACCGATCCTGAGATCTTGTGCGTCTATGCATGAACAGACTGTACAGTTAGTACTTAGGCAGTCCTTGGCAGAGTTTAATTGTGTGGAGAACTGTTGTGCGATAGTTTTCTTACTCTTGTAGGATCTTGCTGTCAGTTGTCTGAGGGAAGCCAAAGTCCATCACTTCATCCATCAGCTCATACACCGTCACAAAGTTGTCACGGATGCTCTCCTCCTCGAGCTCCTTGAAGTATTCCTTAAATACCTGCATACAGACACAGGAACACATACTTTGTGGTGTACAGTACTGACTGTATTCACAAATCACTGCAGAAAGCACTGATTTGAGAAAAAAAAAGAATATACCTCCATGAAATATCACAGAACCGCTTTAAAATCGCAACATATCCGTTTCATAAGTGTAATAATTAGTGGACTAATGTCTCAACACCCACCTGGACTATTTTATAAAGGAAGGAGTACACAAGAGCAGCGTTGGCGTTCTTCTTGGTCATTGCAACCACTAATAAAAGTTAAGAAACAACTGTACACTGCACAAGTGACAAACAGAGAATCAGAACTGAAAACATGCAAATCAGTCTAAATCAGAAACAGGTAAGATGCAGATATCAAGCAAGCATCTTTTGGATACTGAGCGGTTATGAGATAAAATAAAATAAAGAGTTGCCAGAATTCATCACACACAGCGATTGAGAACATGGCCACAGGGAGGTAAAACAACTCTGCTGTAATGCAGTGCACTGGGAATGCCACTCACAGAAGCTGCACAGACCTGAAGTACAGGATGTCAGGTACAGTACATGCATTACATCTATAAGATACATTGTAAATGGATACAGTAAAGGTTGCTGTGTTTGATCCACATGAAGTGTGCAGAGCCATGGCTGACCACCGGTGTCATCTCAGCATCCTCTTCCGTCTTCATCAGGATGGGCATGAAGTGGTCAATCTCATTCATGTCCATGTTCCCCATATAGTTACGGCAGATCAGCACCTGGGGGCAGAAAATACTATTATAGAGACACTATTCAAACATAAAATGTTAATAAATTTTGGCTGAGATTCCAAACCTGAGCACTCATGTGTTCAGATGCTTCAGAGACCACCGGCTGACACAAACACTAAACTTCACAGATAGATATGATCCTACACGTCTAACAATGAATGAGCGGATTCAGGTGTCAGACCTCATGCAGACTTCAGCAAAGTTTATCAGATTTGAGATTATAGTAAATTCCTGTTGCAAGCAATACAGACATTGCTGTGAAATAAAGTGAAAATAAAGTGAAATAAAGGCATAATCCCAAAAATGTATTCTTAGAAATTTAAAGACATGAAGGAAAACTGTAAAGTTGTTCATACATTGTTAAAACATTCACTTGTGGCATTTAGTCTATTCCAGGAGTTATTTTAGTCAGTGTCTTCAATCTTGTATGACCGTTGAATGTCAATGCAAACTGTTGAGGGTACAAAAGATGCCCTCTTTCTATCTGAACCTAAGAGACTGACATTTGCTAAACACACAGTTAGACTGTTGTCTGCAAAACGAACTCCATTGTAGATGCACTGAAAATAACTCGTTACACAGCCAGTAGCACTTGTTGAACGGAACCTGAAGTGATGACAAAATAGCACTGAATGTACCAAATCTGACAGAAATGCACATATTTATATCAGCGGCCTACACTCTTCAAATATGTTTTCAACATTTTTGGGTCCCGACTGTGACTAGGAGAGGGACGGCATCAGACGCTATCTTGTCATTTTCAAGCTAAGTCAGCCTACAGTTCTGCATTTAGCCCCGAGAAACTGCCACACCTCCTAATTTTGATAGAAACACACACACACACACACACACACACACACAAGATGAGTCAGCAGTCTTTGTTAGAGTCCGAACACACAGAGTGAAGTAAAAGAGAGAGATCAAAGCTTCTACGCTTGAGGGATTGAGATGGTGCACACACACACACACACACACACACACACACACACACACACACGATGCCCCCACCCCCCACTCCCCCTTTTTTGATAGAAGAGTCTGTGCTGCACAGGGGTCACATGGGAGCAGATACAACAAAGGCAGAAGGAAATAAGAAATAAAAAAAAGGAAATTCCAGGAAAGTAAAGTAATCTGGTTGAGAAAAAGGGACATGGGCGGGCCACCGCTGAGCTTCTGTGAGAGGAGATGGAAAGCACAGAGCGTTGAGTTCAGAGTTCACCAGAGACACAGAATGAGGTATAGACAAAGCTTTGCATCAAAAAAACATTTGAGATTCACTTTGTAGTTCTGAACCATAAACCAAACTTTGACAGAAAAACATAACAGACAATATTTCCACAAATTTGACTGAGCTGCAAGTTTCCTCTGCTGCTGTCATTACTGGTTATTCCATCAGAAATGATTCCACTGGCAGCTTCTCAGCCGAGCAGGCACCAGGACAGACACAGGATAAAATCAGCAGATCTACCTGAACGGTACCTATCAGTGAAGTGTACACACACAATCAGAATTCATAAATCATAGTGTGTTTCATCAACACATAAACATGTTGGTTTCAAAACAATTAATCATTAGAGGACCAGGGAAAATTAATCATAAGCAATTCTGATAAGAAAATGATTGTTTAGGCCATTTATCAAGGAAAAATTCCAAACAGTTGCTGATTCAAGCTTCACAAATGTGAGAATTAACTGCTTAGTTCCTTGTTATATTACTGCAAGCTGAATACTGAACTGTTGGTTGGAGAAATATGCAAATTGATGACATGGAAGTTGTGATGTGATGCTTCTTCACTAGTTTCTGACATTTTGTGGACTAAATGATTAATCAGTTAGTCACAAAAAATAAGCAGCTTGACAATAATCATCAGTCCCAGCTGTTTTTTTTTAAATGAGGCCAATGATAATTTTAAAAAGGTAATAAACAACAAAACACTCATCCGCAACCCATACAGCACTGCCGAGGTTTAAAAAGCAAAACACTGCATATTGACACAAAACCACCAGTATATCAGTTAGAAAGAACAGGGCCGAGCACAGTTATAGTACATGAACCCTTGAAACCTTTGAGTTGGCAGAAACAATCTATAAAGCCTGTGGTGAAATTCTGCCTAATCAATCAACACCCCTGACAAGTTTCTTACTGACTGCTCTATTCCTTAATCTGCTGTTTCTAATTCCCCATTGTTGTTGTATTGATTAACTTGAAAGCCATTTCATTTGGTCAACTCTGTCACTGAAAACTGGATGTGACAAAGACACCACCCTGAAATGTTGGCTTGCTGGTGCATCCTCTGACAATACACACCCTATGAGGCTAGAAGCTGTGACAAACGTGGCCTGGCTGCTGCCCACAGACACGATTTAAAATAGCTTCTGTTTCACCTTAAGGACATTCAAGTGTCAGCACATCATTGTCATGGCATCTTCGACTGAGTGCGTGTCAGTTAAACTCACATCAAAAATAAAAACATCAGATGGAGTAGTACATTCAGCAGAGACAAAACACCTAGTGTGTTTCATGCCACAAAGCAGAGCACTGCTACTTAGTAATCGTGGCTCATATACTGTAAATGTGTTGGTTCCAAGTCACAGCACAGTCTGTTAGAAAGAGTCTGGTAAGTTGTGTTGGCATTTACTACACATATTACTTCATCTGTCCCTCCACCATACGCTTGAAGCCTGATTCAAGTAGCTCTAAGTCTCTATTTAAAAATAGAAAAGTCCTGCAAAAGGTCTGCAACTATCTGATTATTGATTAAATGTTGAGAAAAATGCTCAACATTTTCTGGCTCCACATTCTCAGATTTGAGAATTTTCTGACTTTTTCTGACATTTCATATACAAAATGATTTGCAAATTAAGGAACCGATAATTTGATGTTAAAGTGTCAGTTAGATAATGAAGCCTTCCAGGATGTCAGATATGTTTTTGTCCCTTAAAGTGCAGGTCTAATGTACGTGGTCATCATCCTTGGCAATATTTTAGCACAGTCCAAATCATATTAAGAGACCATTGTTATTTTAATGGGAAGAATAAAGTCTGAAACTTAGAAATAGGGCATTTCACATACAATAAAGGCTGAATGGCTGCACAAGAACAAGTCCTCTGTGTATAGTGAAGCATTGGCGAAACGAGTCTGGCAAGTTCTGTCTTCCTGACTGCCCTGTCTGACATTGGGGTTAGGAGGACACGGTGAGGTGGACTGTGGCTGTCAGGAAATATAAGCACATCTGGGAGGTTATATGATGTACAACTGAAATAGTACACCGGTTTAAAAAATAAAACATTCGCTTTTTTGGCATTCTTGGGTTTTTTCTCTCAGTTAACAGACTCTTCTGTTGCAGCAGGTGCTTCGTTCATAATTCTTATGTCAACTTCGCCGCTACCAACAAGTCGCTACAAACTTACCTTTCCCTTCAGGTCGAGGAGAAATATCGCCGACGCCGACATCTTGGTGGAGAAAGATACTCGACTGCAAGAACCAGCCTGGTTAATGTGTGGGTCTAATATGAGATGTGGGTCACTTAAAGACCTCCATCCTCCACTCTCTTCAGTCAGTCAGTCGCGTTTCTTTACAACTCGTTGCTTTTCCGGAGCGGAGCGTCAAGTTAGTGACAGAAATAGGCTCCAACTTCCGGTGCCCAGGTGTGTGCTCTGCTGCTCGTGGTGTGTAGCCTATATTTAGCACTGCACCTACGCTATGGTGTTTCCACTGTGTGCTTTTTGTTTTGCTTTGTTTTGCAGTGGAAATGGCCTAGTGCTTTTACTTAGCCTAATAGACCTACTTACAGGTAACTACACTTTTGTCGATAGGCCTTTGTACTTTAACTGAATATATCCACTTTACTGTATGTTGCTTTCCTACATTGAATTATTATAGCCTATTCAAATATTGTACTTTTTACTTTTCTACATTCATCTTTCTTTATAATAAATAAATAAATGACTACAATAAGCCCACCTTAACTAGCTACATCATTAAAGTGATGTACACCTTAATGTATCAGTATTTATAGTCCAAATATACATTATAGAGCCAATTTACACAATTAGTGCAGAGTGCACTCACACTTAAATAACATGCATGTCTTACAGTTTGTAACAGAGTTTTTCTAAAATGTGATATTTTATTTAAGTAAAAGATTTAAAGTATGGATCCCCCACTGCACTTATTAATCATACTAGACATCTAGACCTATAGTTATTTTCCAGATGATTATAAAAACATATCATCAGCTTATAAAACATGTTGCATTGTTATAAAATAAAAATACAAATTTAGAGCATTTAGGAATTAGCTCCACCTGAACCAGCTACAACTTTATGTTATTACATAAAAAAATTGCCTGCTTTTTGTGCATTTTGTTCTAAACATTTTAGGCTACTTGCCTTAAATTCGAATGCAGGACTAATGCTGCACATAATATGATTACTACTTTACAAAGTAAATAATATGAATAACCTATACCTCTAGATTTTGCTTCTGTTCTACTCTGTCAGTCAAATGTGAACTTTCACATATTTTGTTTGCTTGTTTGTTTGTTTGTTTATAACGGTCAAAATATGTCATTTTTAAATGTGTAAATTCCACTGTAAAGTTTACATTTATGTAAAAGAGAGGGTGTTCACTGTCAAAAATAGTTCTGTTTTTTTGTTTTGATAATTACTTTGATTAATTGAATCGCATTAAGCAGCAATGGTAAATTCTACACTTTTACTTTGAAGGGAGGGTTGTTTTCCGGTTTCACTCTGGCTTGTCTGTGTGAACTTGACCTGTTGTGTTTCCGGGTCTGACAGCTTTACACCGAGCTGTCAGACCGGTCTCATCAGCTCGCTGGCCTCAGAGGACTGTAAACGCTCCAAGCCTTTTTTCTAGACGCAGTGTCAAGCTTCATAACAGTGACTGATGCCAGTGTTGCAAAAAAGAAAGGTGAGCATTGACTGTGCTTCGTGGTCCTCAGAAGTAACAGTCATGGATTTAAAACTTGACCCATACAGACAGACCAAGTGACACAGTTTCCATTCAATTAGGTCTTTATTGAGGTCATGATATTTACAATTTCACTGACCTAATACAGTATTATGAGTTTACATTAGGGAAGTACTGAATTCCTGCACATTTTGAGCCTACTGTTATAATCCTAAAAATAGCAGCCATGAGTGCAAAGGAACTAATTAGTGGTAATCTACCTCCCTTATCTTAAGTGAGTTAACCTACATTTTTGCTTTTTCTGTAGGCCTACTCTACATGTAACTGTTTTATGGCATGTTGAACAAAGATTCTGAAAAAGCAAAAGTTACAATTCTGTACCGAAAACAAATTCCTTGTGTGTAACATACTTGGCCAATAAAGGTGATTATCCTTATCCAATGTACAGTGGCTCTGTAACAGCACAATTTAAAGATATGAACTGAAATATGCATTGTAGGTATTTACTTTTTATTACTTATTTTTCTTAACATGAGCTCAGGGTTGCACCATCTATATATGTTACATACAACTGCAGGTGACTAGTCATACACCAGAAATAGCCGGGCCATTCGAGAGTCTTGTTTATAGCAATATGTATGCATTTTAAACATAACTATTCCATGGGGCCTCGAAGCTTATTAGCCTCAGCATAAGTTGCTACATGAATTTAGACACACGATTAAAGGTAACTAGAATGTAGATGCTAGGGATTTGTCTGGCCACCATAAATACAGGACAAATCCTGATGAAATCTGATTCTTTGTGAGCACTGTACCATATTATGTGCAATGTTCATCCGAGCTCATTAGGCAAATTACCTGAACTGGGAAACATTTCTGTCTGCCAAATACAAAAGTAAAAAAATTCCTTTCACTCTTGTAAAGTAATCTATGTGTTTACTAACAGCTGAAGAGGAAGAGAGAAAAACAGAGAAAACTAAAGAAAAGGTGGGAGTGGAATCGGTGGTTCATGGGTTTGACACTCCTACTAAGTGATGGTATATTCAGTTTCATCTATCTCGCCCTCTGAGTCTTCCATGTTCTCCGCTGCTCTCTCAGCTCGCGCTCTCTCACTGGCTGGGATGTAGTTGTCCTCAATGAATCCGTCATCATCTTCCTCGCTTACAGCTGGAATACAGTGAGGGTTCATTCCACGTCCCCTGCGCATGGCAAATTCCACCTCAATGCCTGGAAGCAGTGACAGAATCACCAGTTGTGCTGCAGTCGCTAACTGTATCTGTCTGCTGTTTGGTGCCTTGCAGTAGCCAAAAGTCAGTTTATCAAAGCCTTTGAGCTAAAAACACCTGCTTGTGCGGCTTGTGCTTGTGCAGTGAGATTCAACCAGAACAGAAAAACACAGAAAAATATTTATGTTCATATATAGCACTCTCTAAGATTTAATGGGCAAAAGCCTAACCTGATGGGTCACACTCGCTGGCAGTGTCTGCCTCCCTCAGCCGTGTGTGTCTGTAGCTAGCCAGGTAGCGCCGAACCACCTGGCACTTAGCCAGAAGGGCGATGAGAATGGAGAGAGAGATGGCTGTGACCAGGACAGCCACCAGGAACTCCCAGTTGTGGTTGGTATATGTATCTATCTGGCTTGTCACAGTGGCTGTAAGAGAGAGGAATCACATCCCACTTAATCAGTCTGTTGTGGCTGTGAGGCAGCCCTGCTGTAGAAAACACAGAAATGTCAAAACTCTTGATAAATAACTTGTGTCTGACTTTGCAGGTGTGACTGAATTCTTACCATTTTGTGTTGCTGTTGGTTTAGAGAGTGTACTGTTTGGTGATTGGTCCATCTGGCTTTGCTCTTGTTTGTGCAGTCTGTTCTGGGTAGTGGCTTCTCCGGTGTCGCTCAGATTGCTTCTTGTTGTATGAGACTGACTCTTGCTTTGGGGCACCATTAACTCTAGCATGAAACCATGGATCATGGGAGCAGATCACAGACATGCCAGTGAAAGAACTGTTTCTCTGACTTGCTTATTGAGAGCCCGTCTTTCTATAAGATCCAGCAGACTCTTGAACTCTTGTAACAGAAGCTGGGTTGAAGGTAATTCCTCACCAACTGAAGGCTGTAAATACCCACAGCTGGTTAGTGTTATATTGCCTTCAGCAGGTTAAATGGAATCTGAGGGAAATGTTGCAGAGCAGGCATCTCCCCAGATGAGGGAGGCAGTTGTCTGGATGATTTCTGTTGACCAGGAGAGAGGTGAACTTTTCATGACTCCATTAGGTGGCAAGGCTGAGCGACAGGGGACTCCTCAGGTCAGTAACAAGTTAAAAGGTGGTGGCAGCATTATCATCCCATGTATGAGTTGAAATATGATCCAGAATACTCTTGCTGCAGTGAAAGGGGGCTTTAGAGAAAGTGGGAAACAATTAGAAAATTAAATCAGTATCACTTTTTTCATTTTACACACTACTACACTCAGAAAGGCATGAGCAAACTACAGTACCCCACACCCTATGTGCGTTGTTGGCTTCTTTTGGTCTGCATATGTCATAAGACAGCCACACAAACAGAGCATGAACAAATGACTTAAATATTTCACTTAGTATCTATGGAGAGTGTCACAAAATGGAGACGCTGCTTGAATCCAGAAGTCATAATCGAGCATGAGCTGTCGGAGCTCAGGAGGACATCATCCACAACAGGAAAAGTCTGGCGCAAACAGGAAGTCCCACATAGTGTAGGACCTTCCTCCGTAGGCCTAGCTGGCTCAAAACACCGGCAGAATCACTAATATATGTGTGTGTGTGTGTGTGTGTGTGTGTGTGTGTGTGTGTGTGTGTGTGTTAAGAGTGTGAAAGAATTTGATGGATGATTCACAGCGTCCTATAATACACAACCACATACTTAATGATTCTAAAAGAAAGCCTACCAAACATAATTTATTTAAAAACATGCATGTAAACGTTTTTCAATGAAACAAATGAAATATTACATATTAAGCAGCCAGATTTAGATGTTCTGGTGGCATTTTATTAACTTTGGGCAGAGCCAGGCAAGCTCTTTTCCTGTTTCTATGCTAAGCT